GCTGTGGAGCAATCTTGGGAGTTGATGTGTGTGTGTGGACTCTTTGTGCATCAGGATTTGCCGGACTTTCAGGCGAAGGCGAGCAACATTTAGTTCCAGTGATGCTTCCCTCAAACTAGCGTGATCCTCCAAATCCCAACCTGCATGTGGATCGCGGCAAGGCACTGCCGGAGTACATGATGGGAGTGCAAGTGGAAAAATACGTACAGGTTCATACATGCCAGATAATTTTTTCTGAGCCTTCAGAGTAGTGAACAGTCAGGACTTGAAAAGGTTGACGTTCGACTTCAGTCGCACCAGTCACTTTCCCTTGCCGACCCTGCCTTGACCGGGTTGGAGGTAGGAAGGTTACGCATTTTATTGCCCTCAGGTTCAACAGGGAGGTTTATTGTGGAATATTGTGGAGGACTGTGGCTGGTCCTGAGATTCGTGAACCCGACGGGTATAATGCACATTGCCATTGTTGCTTCTTGGAAGGGTGGTCATCAAATTTTGTCACCCTCCGTTTGGCAAATTGTGGCTGACAATTCGATACAATCTACCATACTTGTTAGAGATGAGGGTGGACATGGAACACAACATTTAAAACCGCAAATAATGCACTGGGCACCACCCAAAGTTCGATCCAACCCCCGCAAGCGTAAGATCCACTCAGACTCGGTGAAAACTCTTCCCGCAAACCTGATGGATCCTTTGGCAAATTGACTGAGGTGGGAGTCCCTGGCCTGATCATCAAGCTCAGTTGCTCTGAAGAGGCTGCAAAAGAAAGTGTTCAGATGGGACACTACTGTGATGCGATCGTGGAACATCTTTGTGCTGAGTCGGAGTTTGATAGATGAAGATCAAAACCAACATTCACATACTGTAACTAAATTCAGTTCTTCTCCACTGTAGCACGTGCAAACGGATTACAACGCAAAAAGAAAACTGTTTGGCTTGTTTTCCCCGCTGTGACAGTTGATGATAGTTGATGGTTGAGGTGCGATTGAGCCGAATTCAGCAGAGGGGCCAACGAGGCCATGAAGTTTCTTGGGCTTCAGTGGCACTGCGTAGTTGCATCAAATCGCTTGGTCTTGTGTGAAGTCGTTTGGATGTGGCACCCCCATGCGGGTTTGACGTTGTGGGGTGTGTTGTGGGGCTGTGTTCCTGGCACGCTGCAATATTTGCAAAAATGATCAAACATGTATGTGTTCTACGTTGATGTGGGCGAGTTCTTTGCAACATATTTCCGTAAAGTGCTTCCACAGTGTTTAGACCTAGAACGGATGACTTTCCGCAATCCGGGGGACTTGTCTCCTGGCCGGGTGATTTCACACAAGCGCAGGAGGACTCAACTCCTGCACTTGCAAGTGGAACACTTTGGGTCCATCAGCAAGAGGTGGGTGACACGGTGGTTTCTTTCTTGGCCTGTTGTATCATGCTGTTTCCTCACATTTGGTGATTGAATTGAACTGGCTGCTGCTCAGTGGTCGGCTGTGCTACGCCGCTATGCTATGCTAGGGCGTTCGTTGCTTTTGGTGCGCCTTGTTCTTTTTTTGCTCACCTTTGTAGCACAACAACCGCCAACACAAGACCAAAATCAAACCATGATTGCCGATAGGACCAATCTTCAGACCAGTGACTCAATTGATCATTGACCATTCTTTCATACTGACTTTTTGGCATCCCCTTTTTTGGTTGTCATGTGTTGTCCTTGTATACTACCTTCGGATGGCATGGGATTTGGAAAACATACATGGGAACACACATTCCCAAGTCATTTGCCTCGCCCCCTCGTGATAAATCCCATGTCATCAGGCAAAACTAACCAAAAACATCAAAAAACAATATATATATATATAATGCAAAGCATCTCCAGATTGCCGATGCAACCCAAGACAACGCTGCTTTGTAAACGCGAACTCCCATGTCATATGTGAAGGAATACAAGAAAGCAACATTTGTCCAACATTTGTCATTGGGTCTGTCATGTTTTTGTCGTTGTGTTTTGTCATTTGTCATTTTTCATCTATATGTTCTTTACTTTTCCAATCCTTTATCCGTTGATCCTCTACATGTTTTAGTGTTTTCCTTATGTCTCCCCCTGTTTGTCTTTATTCCCTTGACGGTCCCACACGGTGATGGGCGGATGTTGCCTTCACCATGGTGAAACCGGTTCACAAACATCCGGCTATTTGAGGCACTCCGGTTCAAGGAAAGCCCCGTGCCCCAAAGAGCCGGCAGAACAAAAAACTGACAACAAATCGGCACCGGCACCAAATCGGAATTGTTGGCTGTCGGGAGGTGTGGATCATGAGTGTCACAACTATCTCATCCTGCTTTGCCTATAGTCACCTAACGATCAGGTGCCAAAACACCATTTTCACATGACATAGGATTTACCTACTCTATTCCTTATGTCACTTGACGCCACAAACTCCCATGTGATCTGCACCCAGTATAGATTCATGTCGATTTTTTGGGAGTTCTGATTATATCGTTCTGTGTCGATATTCTATTGATGTTTTGACATTCCAGTTTGTATAATATACTGTTAGCTATTGTTGGCTCCTTTTCTTTGTGCTATTGTAGAGATCTCCATTCAGCCAGGTTTGGCAAGAAAATAAAATCATTGTTTTCTGATTGTTTTCTGAATCTTTCTTTCTTTGCTGGAATTTCTGATGTTTTTCTAATGTCGAATTTTGATCTGATTTTTTTATGTGTTTTTTCTGAATCTCTTTCTTCCTTTTTGTTTTTCCTTTTTCCTCCTCTTGCTACCAGCTACCAGCTGGCTGGACCTTTTTTGAGGGGAAACGTGTACTTTTCCTTCTTTAGGAAAAGCATCAGTCCATAAAAGGAAAGCATTTGTTGATTGAAGATGTTTTTTTCATTGTCATTGAGTTTCAGAAAGCAGCTGGCCATTTAGCAGCTATTGTTCTGTTTTGTCATTGTTCTCTCAGTTGGCGTCCATTGAATGGCCCTATTTCACTCCTTTCTGACTGGTTAGGATTGTATTGTGAATCAAGTGTTGGATATGTAGCGAGAAATTTGAGCATCCCGCACTGTGTGCCGTCACAGTAGGTTTTGAACCAGTTGGCTGGAGATCTCTTCAAGCCCAGGTCCGCAGTGCAGAGGAACGCACCAGGTCAGGCTCTCAGCGTTGAAATGAATGTAAAGGAGCATTGCTGCAAACAGGAAGGCTTAGGGAATTTTCAATTTACACGGCCTGCTGTCAGTGTCATGATTTGAGTGCATTGATTACATCGAGTGCAACTGTTGCACCTCAATTGAAGAAGGGAAGATGCCGGATCCAACAATGCCGGATGTCAGGGGGAGAACACCATGTCTACTGTCCCACCACGATGATATGGAAAGGGTTCAACTTGTACACCCGGTAGTACACCCCACCCATAAAGATCCCGATTCAAAAAGGCCACCAAAGCCTCAGTACCGGCTGCGACTATAGGAGCCATGGGTCCCTCGTGTCGGGTGGTTCGCAGCGCCTGAAAGACTTTGAAAGCAGCGGTCTTTGCCATGAGCATCTCAGCGGAGGAATGTCGACGGAAGGGGAGCATCGGTCATCGGAATGTTGCTCGTGCAAGAAGAAGAAGACGGGAAGAAGGTCCGGTGGTACAAGAAGACCAGAAACTGTTTATTGGCATGTTTTTGTCCAGTTCTGTCGACAGCAACTCAGATGGTGGGATTGTCAAATCTGTTCAAGATTGTTGCGGGCCTCGGCATAGGGTTGCGTCGCAAAACTTAATTGCACTCCCAAGTGCTAAAGTCGTTGCGATTTCATGTTTTTGCTTCCCTCCAGAATTGTGAGTAGGGCTTTTGAATGTTTTTGAGGAGTCGTTGCGAAACCGGGGTGTCCCAAGCAGTTTAGGAGTGGAGGCAGTGGAGGCGTGCGTTGCTTGACAATTATAATTCTTGCGTTGGGCTTATGGCATATTCCCCAAACAGTACGATCACATTACTGTAGTGGTTCTTACGGTTATTGTCAGGGCTGGGGTTGATCGAGGGTGCAGTGTATCCGTGTGCGGCCAATTTGCTGCTATTTACAGCACATTCATGCCCCTCGAGACCTTCAAAGTGCATGTTGACTGCGCAGGCTCGCGTAAGCGCCCAGGCTGTTTCCTTTCATTGTTGTTCCCTTTGCCAACTCCTGGCATGCAAGAAAGGGTTGAGGTGTATCACACTCCACTCCTAGAAGGAAACGTGTGCTTGGACTTATAAACTGCACACGCTTGAAGCGATCCCACGTGTTTCGAACTGAGAGGGGTCCAAAACTCTTCCGCGGCTTTGGTTGAGGCTGTCAACTGACCAACCATTCAAAAAGGCAGCTTGGCCAGAAAGTGGTGGTGGTGTATTTTATGTTTCTTGGGAGTTCCCCAACCGTGAATGATAGTCAACCCAAGGCAATTTGCAACGCTGTAACGCCCGCTTATCAAGAACTTTTGCCAGTGCTTTGACCTCCTGTAGGAAAATCAAGTGTCTTTTTTGGATATGTAACATGCGTGTCTCGATGCCTGCCCGGACTTACTAGTTCTTGACTAGACCTGTCAAAAAGATTCAAAAAGTGCTGAGCCTTAGGTTGTGGAGGAGCTAAAAGAACATGTTCAGCAGGCACTGGACCGGGTTGGCAAGCGTGGGAGACGATTTCTGATAAATTTGTGTCCGTGCATGGTTCAGAGATTGGCTAAGATTGATCATTGATATCATTCATTGTACTTGGCCGTGGGGCTATGGAGGGGATGCATTTCGTTACTTCAAAATCCACACCTGCCAGTACACCTGCCTATTCTCGTACCTACTGCCTCTGAAAGTGCAAAACGTTTCATAACCGTGTTCACGTACTGTAACCACTTGGCCAAAAATCGATAGCCCTCGGTGTCCATACAAGAAATTTAGTTTACACTCGCATGTGATGGTCTATCACCATAGGGGCCAGGCCGGGCCACTCTTCAATCCAAGTCACTCCCAGTTTTGGAGGTAGGGTTTGGGACAATGGCATGATCGGCAGCATTGGCTCGAAGAAAGATTGGAACCATTCGGATAACGTCCGTCGCTGCTCGAAGAAAGATGCCTGGAAAGATGTCGCGCATGAAGATCGAGGCTGCCGGGTAAGCCTTTTTCACAACAGCTGGGTGACCTCCAAAAAATCATTTAAAAAAATCCATGCAGATAGCCCTAAAGCATCCCTAAAGCCCAGTGGTTGTTGGACTCCAGCTATTCCAATACACATCCGGTCAAGGCTAAAGCGGCTAAAGGTTGTCCAATCGAATTCTAACGTAACGTTCGTACTGTTTGCGGAGCGCCAACTGGAAAGTTTGGGCAACACCGCCTGTCCAACCACTCCAACTACCACAGCTTGCAAAATTTGTGTACGGATACTGAACTGACACAGCAGAGTAGGTGGTAGGTTGGTTGGACATTTCTGTACGTTGCCAAGTCATGTCGAGTTCATGAAATCTGAATGAACCCACCAGGCCGCGATGAAAGGCAAGCGAATGCCCTTCGATGACCAGGTTTTGGCCACTGAGCAACCAAATGGGTTCGATTGGTGAGGTCAGGGACGCCTCAGGTGATGGGAACGTCCAGAGAAACCTGGGAGAATTTGTTTTGGCGTTCATGTTTGGCACCGACTCAATTTTTTCCTGCCCCATGAACATCCCCCGTACCTGGCAGAGGACAACCAGTGCGGAAACCGGACAACCAGACCGTGGGTTTTAGAGCATTCCGATGCCAATTCGTAAATCAGATTCCTGTTCTTTCATGTATGGTTGGCATGTTCTGACTGTATACTTTCCACTTCTCCTGTTCTTGTTTTACTAATTTTGCGTGTCTTGTGCGGCTTAGCTGACTCACGTATGATTTTGCTCTTGCATTATATATAAGATTAGCATTATTCCGTCGAGCGCCCAAACCCCAAAACCCCAAGGGGCTGGGATGGGGCAAACGGACTGACGCTAGGCTGCTACATCAATCTAACTTTATATGTGAGGGAGGATCGTACATGTACTGTACTGTAATTAGATCTATTTGTTTTACTGTGCATCTCAGTTCTGTTTCATTTGAGGACGTCATGGGTTGCCAAGCCGCCGCCTGGGTGAAGCTGAGGACTACCTGCTGAACGTGGCGAGTTCCTCCGCGTCCAAAGAGCTTGTGGAGCTGATGGAGGTTTGGATGTGGTACTGGCAGACTATGGTAGACCTACAGGCATAAGAAGGTCTCTATAAGGTGTTTGGAGGACCAATTTGATGCAGGATGCGGCCGAAGTGACTTCCCCCAATTCTGTTGCTGCAAATTGAGGCCAAGGGTCAATCCTCACAAGGAGATAGGCTCCCTATTGGCACTGGCACGGTAGCCACTCTGTCCTTTTTTTGGGTTGCTGGTTGACTCCGATGGCTTTGCCTCCTGTTTGTGTTTTCGTCCTGGTTATCCTGTTCCGAGGCGTCAGTTCTTTTTCATGAGTGTAACGTGTGTATGTATGTATATATATATATATGTGTGTGTGTGTAATGACAGAACCGGATGCCTTCAGTCCTTGTTCTGATTTGCATTCGTTTGGGAGGACAGAAGTCCACTCACTCGGCTCCCTACCATTGATGCAAGTTCTGCACCCCGATCACCATCACAAACGTCATGGTTTTGCTTTTTGCCAGTGACTGTTGATGGTGTCCTTTTTGCTTGCTCTTCCTCCGCACCGCCGGGGCTACTTCAATCGAACGGCGGTTTTAACGGTTCGGCCTGTTCGGCCCTTCTGCCACCAGGATTTCTGCCCGAACTGGCAGAAGCATGAGCGCATCGCTTTGGCGGCCCTCCTGGCGAGGGAAGCTGGCAGAGGTCACCTACCTCAGGAAGAGACCGAATGAAAAAGGGGCGGGAAGCAGCCGATAGAGCAGAAACCAAAGGAAGGAATGAGGAAGGCAAGAAAAAAACTCGATCAAGTCAAACAAATCTGTTCCACGACCCATCCGTATCATTTATTATCCTCAATTTTGCAGGAGGCAACCGTTGTCAAGAGAGAAAAACACATAGAAGAGCTCAAACTCTTGAAACAAGGACGCTACTAGGGGCTCCTGGCCTTACTACTAGGAACAAGAAGCTACTAGCAACAAGGGGCACACGTGTCACCTTGCTTTCGAGTTCACTACCTGTGACGATGATGCACGCATTGAGGGGAAACATATTTTAGGTCTCGAGCCTGTCAGTAGGGGTTCAGTGCCTAGGTGGCCTCACTCCCTCAGGGATTTCTCAGGCTGTTGCCAATGTACTGAGAACTAGGCACTGATACCCTTGGTGCAAGGACGCTACTAGGAGCAAGGGCATCGCTACTAGAAACAAAGCGCATTACTACCAGTAGCATTCTTACTACTAGGAACAAACTCTTGAAACATGCAGCTTCGCGGCTTCGCCCGGTCTTCTTGCAGGTGACGGCCCCGACCACTCTTCCAGATCAGCACCGTCGGTTCCAGCGCCCGATGCAAGCGATGCAGACATGTTGGCACAAGCAACTTGGTGGGGAAACTGTGGGGTGTGCGAACTGTGGGGGTTCAGCAATTGTTTCTTCATTCCAGCCCCTATTTTGAGCCCCCGCTCATGTCAGACTGTGACAAGCCGCCTTAACTTAAGCGCCTGTTCGAAAGATTGCCTTGTGGATTATTTGATTTGTCAATCAGCAGGCTAGCAGCTCCATGGTGGGTTTGCAAGACGATTTTCCTCTAACAGCTCCAGATGGATTCTGAAAGATCAGACTAAGCGTTGAGGACATTGAAAGAAGATACTGTATCACATTGGTTAAGCTCTTGGGGCCGTGAGATTGGAAGATTTCTTGAGAACGCATAGGTTTGCCATGCGATGCACATGCACCCTTGGTTCATCGCCCCTTTGGCAAGTGCCAGTCCCAGCTCGGAAAGGGGAAATCGCTGAGGACATGGCCCTGGCACAAATGCTGCAGGAAGAGGAAGATGCAAAGTACACAAATAATCCTGGGCAAAGCGGGCAAATGAGCTCCAAGAAAGGCGGGAGGGGGACGTTTCTATTTCATTTTGTGCTTTGGAGGAAGGAAGGCACAATCAGATGGCTGAACATGTTGGACGGCTGCTTGTGCGATGTATTTCAGAAATTTGCATGGTTTTTGACATTTGATATTGCATGTTGCGACGGCCCGTTGGTTACCCACAACACAATCCAAGAGGAAATGCCACTTCGATTGATTTACTATATCCATAATTTCATATATATATATTGTATAATTCCATATGTATGTAACTATATAATATATATATATATGTGTACACTATACAACTTCTGTAAGCAATTGCACCTGCAGTATCTGCAGAGGGCATTCTTGGGCTTCGCGAATTGTCGTGTGCTTTTGCTGTGACCAGTTTCTCATTAATTTGCAAGCAGTTCACTGCTGCCAGCCGGCCAGCCAGGCAAGAGGGCCTTCAAGCCCTTGAATATCAACTACACGGTGGCCAGAGGCGGCAATGCTCCTCCAGCACTGGGAACGGCGGCTCCTAGCAGCCTAGCAGATGTGCTCAGACAGAAGCGCTCACAGCAGGTTCGGATTGGACATGCCCCGGGGTTGCCAATATGCGTATACAGTGGATGTACGTATCGAGGGGCACCTGCAAGGGAAACCCCGCACGGCGCATACCAGTCATGCTGTCGCCCGACACCGGTCGCCAGGTCCTTGACACTGGGCCTCCCAATTTGCCAGCGCTGAATGCTCCCAGCGAGCGGCCCACTCCATGGACGCCGTCGGGCTTAACCTGGGCTGAGAAGCTTCAGCTTTCTCAGGAGCCTGTGCAGGAGGAAGGCGAATCAACGTCTTTGAGGGAAGTGGAGATGTTGTAGATAGGTCAGGTTGGCGCCCGTACTGTGCATTTGGCTAGTGTTCATCGTGGCTTTATGGTCCAGCATTGGGCCACTTCATGGATGACGACCCTTGTTATCCATCCGGATCAATTTGCATGTGAGAGTGCACGCCTTCCCTGTAGCAGCCTGATTCTATTCACACCCCGTGGCCCTGAGCAAGAGAGTCCCGCCATGACTGGATGTGTAATGAGAGATCCTGGTAGGTAGAAATAGAGCTGAGAGCTGAAAAAAGCCTAGGGCCGGCCAACTGACCGCAAGCTGGCTGACTGGTTTGCAGTATATAATGTTATACCGAGGATTTGAGTTTGCCCTGCAGATGCCAGGGAGCAATCCAGCAAAGACCTTCAAGACAGAGTGTATACAGCAAGCTATGCATCATACTAGGAGACCCATATGGAGACCCTTAGCCTTTACATCTTTACGCGTCTTGTCATCTTGCCCGCGATAGCTCCTCGCACCCTTTTCGCGCAGGTGGTTGGCACCATGTGCAACGCTCTGTGGTGTTGCAGGTGCGAGTACGCGCCAACAGGGCGGAACATGTGGTGGAGGCCACCTCAGAAGAAACGGTGTCCTGGATGGATTGGACCTCCTGACTCCTGACAAAACCCTTCATTGATTTGTGTTTTTGATGAGTTTGATGAAGCTGAATATGGGGAACTTTAGGGACTTTCTCAAGGTGGGATTTCGCATGAAAGAGCAGCTGGTTCTGCTGATGTGAAACATACATAGTCAATCAACATTGGCCCCATTTGTTTAAAGCAGCTCTTCCAATTGTTCTGTTCTAAGGGGTCCGACCTTTCCCTCTTGCATCACCAACCCAGATGATGCCAGTGGCAACAAGGCTACGTTCCGATATCCTGCGCCCGGTAGATCCCCTCCAACATGCCAAGGTGGGGGATGTGAAGAAACGCTTGGAGAAGATGCACGGCTTTGCCTTTAATTTGCAACGGCTCCTCCATCTTGGTCGAGTATCTGGGCGACGGATGGGCAATTCAGGGTCAAGCCGACCAACATGTTCGGCATCGATGGTTTACCTTCTGAAAACTCGTTGGGAGCTGCCGTTGTTGTTGTGGCGGTGATGGTGGTTACAGCATGTTACAGCGGCTACAAGTGTTTCTTTTGGGGTTGATGAGAGTGGGAGAAGAACAGCATCAATCACTGGCTTCCAATGCATAATGTATACGAAAACGTTTGATTGAAGTCTTTGTCGTACTTGCCAGCTTATGCACTTGCGCCCCCCTTTCGAGACACAAGTTGAGCAGAACTCCAACCTAAGACATGAACCGAAAGAAGCGGAGATGCAATTGCCTTCTGGCTTTGGCTAGACCATGAATGTATACTATGATATATTGTATGTAATATATGTACTTATATATATATATATATCTGAGGGGCTTGGCTGGTGTGCAGCTGTAGGGGGAGACAACCCGCTTCATTTGCCTGACACGGTCGGTCGAGCACACGCTCGGTCTCGCTAAGGAGCTCCAAGACGATGAGGCCTTGCAGAGTTTGTCGGCCACCAACGGCCAGATCGTCATGCAGCTGGTCATGCGGCAATCGGCCCCACGCCCGGCCAACCTTCAGAAGCTCAGAGCAAAAGAGAGCCCGCCAGAGCTGATGACTAACCGAATAACATGTGAGTACAAAAAAATAATCCCGGTAACATGTATTACTGTAAGTAAGGAAGGTTCGATTCGCAGGTTCAGAAATAGCTCGGCCACCGCTTGTTATTCTGTTGCTTATCTTGGAGATGCTACCTTGTCGCGCTAGCAAAACGCAGGGTTGCGCTAGGTTTGGCGCTAGGTTCAGGTACTTAGGTAAGATTAACAAACAACACATACATACATTGACCATTAAACTTGTTGAGGTATGACCGGACAACCTGTGGGACAAAACATTCTTTAGCTGAGTTTTTGGCTGTAATTGGCTTATGTAAGCAGGGGACACCAACACCCATCCATTGCGGGCATGTTCCCATTGCGGTTCGATTCTTCGTGAGTGGGAGAGCTATTGTATAACTATTTCAAAGCTAGGAAAGCCGGCAGACCGCACAGCGTGCTCTTGATCACAGCCGTGTGGCCTGAGGCACTGGCAGGGGAGCGCGCTAGACCCGCGCTAGATGCGCGCTAGACCACTTTGCAACTTTAACCACTTGTCCAACTGCATACATCTCAATACACTAGAGACATACACACAAGCGGATTGCCTGCATCACGTTGCGCTGGGGTGATGAGAGTGGGTGAAAAGACGAGAAAGACAGCTGGGGTGGGGGCTTTGTATGCACGAATAAAGAGAAGAACCGTAGGAAAGCCAATGAAAGCCATTGATCATATCTCAACTTGTTTCTGGGTAAAGAGGACTGCTACTTTCAGCTTACGTTTGGAACCGATTGACCTTTAAGTAAGAATTCAGCTATAAAAGGGGCACATGCAACATACAACCATATACATGAGCATTTGTTGCGTGCATGAAAGCCACCGCTTGGAATTGCCGTGGCTTGAGCCTAGCATAATGATTTTAGAGCATTTTTTCAGCTGGGTGTGATGGGCGTGGTTGAAGAACAAGTGTTCGTCATGTCCATTCTGTGGGGCTTTCTGGGTACGATCAAGGCCTTGCTTCTCCATACAGGCAAAAAAACAACAACATTATGATGCTCCTGAACACCAGGTGGCAAAGAAATGAAAATGCATTTCTAATTGCGATGAGATGTGTGCGTTCAAGAACAGTTCATAAAGCAAACACTCCATTAAACCATGAAGTATACGTTTATTAAAAGGACCTTTTTGCCTTGACGTTGGTAGGTGAACACGTGGCAGAGCATGTCCTTGATGTGCACTGGTAAAACTTACAGCACGTACAGCTTCCCTGCAATTCTGAATGCTTTGCGAAACGATTTTTTAAAAATGACCGTCTCAGCGGAAAGCCCAGGCTTCGCTTGCAGATGCCCGGCGGCAGCCAGCCCATGGCCACAGAGGTGCCAGAGAAGGTCACCGGAGACGGCTTGAAGGAGTTCCTTGGACATGGCTGCGAAGTCGTGGCACCAGGAACCTGCCTCACACAAGAACTACGGTAGACTTTCTTGATGAGTTTTGGAAGAAATCAAGGGTGGTGGAGTTGAAGTGCGTTCAACATTCAAGATGCTCAGTTGGGATTGGAACCCGGCGGATGGTGTTTCATGTTTTCTCCACCTGGCATGTTGAGCCGAATGTGATCCGGTACATCAATTTGTTAAGAATGTTATTTAGCTCGGTTGGGTGTAGTGAGCAGTGAACTGTGAAGGGGGTTCCATCGCGCATCTGGTTGCCCCTGAAGATTGCAATGCTTGCTTGGAGAGGCAAAGTTTTGAGATCCTGTGCTAGGTCATCCGTTGTCATGCCCTCACCCAGCTGCAGTCCTGGAATAGCCAGCTTCAGCAAGATTTGAACGTCCAACTTGTGGGTGATTCCCGCAGCTTGAAGTGCCGCAACTTTTGGTGAGGAGAAGCAAAGGCACGAAGGCATGAACGGCAGCTTTGGTGTGTTGCAAAGCTCCGGTGTTGCTACCTTTCCCCAACCTGGGCACGAACAGGAAATCGTGAAACATCGTGAAGTTCGTGCAGGTTGAGGTTTTTCATGACCGTCAATGGGATTTCATGTCGAACAGGTAGGTAGTCAAAATCCTGCAGACATGCCCCACTATGTATAAATGGCACCAGCAGTTGAACCCAGACGATGAAACAAATTTGCAAAGTGCCGCGGGATGCACTAGGTTCTTGGGGGTTCTCGGGCTTCTCCCTTTTGAGATTCAGCTTAGAGAGATCGGTTTCTTGGGATGATGTTGCACCCTGATGGACTGAGGCAAATCCAGAGGGAGCATGGTATCCGTAAGGAACTTTGGCGATGATATGTGTTCCTTTTCACGGTAGTTGATTCTGGATAAGACATGCAAAAAGGTGTGTTTTCGCTTTCATTATGTTTTGTCCTCAAAGTATTGGGGTTGGTTGCAACGCTACGCGTTTCGACGGCCGAAAAGGAGTACTGTACTCAGGAGTGCTTGCCCCTCAAGATGTCCCAATGCTGAGTCTTAATTAGTCGCCAACACATCCATTTAGTTTGGTCATGCCTTCACCGGATGATCGTCCTCGACATCAGATTTCACCGAGGACCACCTAAGCCTCAGCTTTTTCGGCCACCCTTTGCAAGATCACCTGACCCTAGCACAGCAGGGCGTTGCCAACGGTGGTTGTAGCTTGGAATGTTGGGGCAGCTGGCTGTCCAACCAGGAGTGAGTGAGACAACCAGGGTCAAGCACTATAAAGCAATCAGTGACCACGGGTCATCTTAGTGGGCCGGACAAGCGAGAGGAGTTGTGGATGCACCAGAATCACCAGAATCCTGTATACATAATCCTTCAACTAGTCTTATCAGCTTTCCCAGGTTGTTGGCTTTTCCTGGCGGTTCCTAAGGGTCAAGCAGGCAAGGAAGCCAACACGGAAATGGTGTTCTGTATTGTTCTGTCATGTTCCATGATTTCACTCATATCACGTTCCAGATCAACTGTGAAGCTCCAAACATGATGTGTAAATCCGATCTACTGGTATTTCAAGTTGATTTCATCAACCCTGACCTCTCAGTGCCCATGCTTTCGGCTCGAGGCATCTCCGTGTCTTTGGCACCACCACCCGAGCGGCCCGAGCAGCGGTTCCCGGCACCGGAGCCGCCGGAGCCTTTGGCCGAAAGCGTGACATTCTTCGACATCCCCTGTTCGATTTACTGCAATAGATAACAAAATGCACGGTTGGTACAACTAATTACAAGAAATCCTACCCCCCCCAACTCCCCTTAGGTCCAGGGGGATCCTGTTTGTAAAGGAACATATGAAAATCGAGTCTTCCAGTGGGGACATGTTCCACTTCCATGTGAGTCTGAGTGTAGCCCTTGACATCCTTTGATTCTTGTTTTTATGACTTTCTCGGTGCAAGACAAGCAGGAAAACAATGGATAATATGCAAGCACGACTTGGCAGGATTTCCAAGCTCGGACATTTGAGACCCTGAGAGCCCAAAGAAAACCATATGTAGATTCAGATATCAGTATATGTAAATTGCACAATTGAGATTGTTTGAGCACATGCACATCGTCACAGTTCAAGGTTTTCCATCCTTGCCTCGAGCCACCAGAAGCTAAACATTCTTGATGAATAGATACCAATACTACCCTTTGCCAGCTAGATTAAATGAAAGAAATGAAAGCTTGATTACTGTTGCCTGTCTATGCCTGTTTGGGTGCGTATTGAGACCCTCGTGTTTTCCATCCTTGCCCTCGTGTTTTAAGAATTGCCCCGCACACCTACTAACTTGTATTATCACAACATGTTATACCGCCGTTTCGCCTTGTCGGTGATCACATTCACCTCTGTTGGCATGGCAATCGTTCAACATCCACGTTTGTGGCATATGATCCCCGAGGCAAGAGACACAGATGAACGGACGCAGCTGATCCAAAAGGTCTTTGCTGCATTGAATCGAAGCCACACTGGCCACCTCAATGCAGATGAAATGCGGCCCTTTGCCAACCAAACCGGTGCCTTAGCATCATGTATCAGTACGTTTCTCTTCTGGCTTGGGTGCCGACGGTGCTGAGGTTTGCGAGCCAGTTTTGCGTGCCGAATAAGTAGGCAGACTGTGGTCCTTTGAGGTCCGAAAGCCGGTAGATCAGAAGTGCTTCGCGTTGCTGAACTCTTGTTGCGGAGTGTTTTGACTGATTCCTCTTCTTCAATTCCAGTTTTGATGTATACTGCATGTATTAGTATGCATATATGACAATAAGTATGGTACACCTTTGATTCAAGGCATATGTGCCTTTTCAATCCTGTTCTGTGAATCATTGATTGTTGTAGCAATGTGATCAATGTGCATTCTTTTGCAGATTGGGAAAGCATGGTTAGGGCATGCACTGACAAGTTTGCTGGTGCTGAGGCTTTGAAGGCTCGGATGCGGAGTGGCGAGGAGAATTTGATTCGCTTCGGCATGAGTGCGGCACAGCTGCAGACAAGAGTCAGCTCGATTGACTGTTGACCTGCCACTTGATTGTGTCGATGTGTTATCTCCTGCGCCAACAAAAACACACGCACAGAGAATGCTTTGCTTGAAACCACCACTGTTTTGGAGAAGTCGTTCGTGATTCATGCCATATGTTCGTTGTTTGCGCGACCAAAGAGTCACAGTTTCCGTGCTGGCAGAGTCCGTGTCACATGGTCACCGCTGAGGTGGCTCTGGCCCAGGGATTTCACTGCACCACTTTCAGCGATTGGTCAATGAAACTTGGAGAGTTGATACATTTCAATTTCGATTTGGAGGGAACATTTCAATTTCTGTGATGGAGTTCCATTCCCCTTTGCTCTGGAGCTCATTGACTCACTTTCCCAGGGCTGATGGCTGACATGATAAGCTTGGAAAGTTCCAGAATGTACCAGATACTTTCCGCAAAGTCTACCAAGTTGCCAACGCCAAAAGTTCAAGACTCACAGGAGCTGATTTGCATGAAGTTTTTGTGGGGCCGTACTTCAAGTAACTATTCACCCACATCCGTTCCTTCTTTTGGAAGCCAAGGCTTGCTTTATGGCAGTTGTGTCACAGGGCCACGGGGAGACATGAACTGGTTCCCCAAGAACCACCTGCGCTTCCCAAGTGGACAATGGATTATCAATCACTGGCAGGGTGCGTGATTTCTTTCGTGCCCCGAAGGGGGTGTGCAGTCAGGTGCATGAAAGACAAGCCCGTTTGCATAGAATATGTTTCGTCCAGCGTTTCACTTGGCATGATGTGGATTCCTACTGTCATTGTGGCCTTTTCTTGAGGTTGCAAAATGGTACGTTGTTTTCGCGGTTTTGTTCGGAAAGCTTTACAATTATGTATGTATTGTACATTTAAGCTCAGTTCTTTTCGGTGGGGTGGAGGAACTTGCTATGAGAGACCCTGCTAGAATCTAGATTGAAGGCTTGCAGTTGCGAGGTGTATAGTATGGTGTCCAACTATGTCCAACTCTAGTCACTAGTCATCCCAGAGGGAATCCAGCATCTCTGACGATGTTACGTTCCCAGATATTGAAAACATGATTGTACGGCATGCCATGTTTTGTTCACCCGGCGGTCCTTCAACAGAAAATGGGAGGCATTTGTGTGTCTACTTTCCACATGTCAAAGTGGGGAAATGCCTATCTTCGGAGGCAGCCACACGGCAAAGCATTTTTAAGTGCAGTAGAGTACAGACAGCTGAATTCCGAATAAAGTCCGATTCAGAAACCAACACCGCGATTCAGAAACCAAAAATCCGCGATTCAGAAACTAAATTTCCGCGCTTCAGAAACTACAATTCCGCGATTCAGAAACCAACAAGCAACCAAAAAACAACGATTCAGCAACCAAATGCACAGTTGGTTAGGTGGGGTGGTGGTATGGGGCTGGGGTAATAACGTTCCTGGTGATGGCAGCTGGGTACTGAATCACAGTAGGTTGGGTGGGGTGTTGGGATGGGTCTGGGGAAATAACGTTCCTGGGAGATGGCAGCTGAGTACTGCATCACAGCAGGTTGGGTGGGGTGTGGGATGGGGCTGGGCTAATAACGTTCCTGGGAGATGGTACCTGGGTACTGAATCACACTAGGTTGGGTGGGGTTGTGGGATGGGGCTGGGGCAACAACGTTCCTGGCAGATGTAGTGACCGTGCAAAACAAGGGCAGTTGGGTTCTGAATCACAGCTTGGCTTCGTCGTTGTGCTTGGTTTCCGAATATGCGTTTTGGCTTCCGAATAACATTTTTTTGTTTCCGAATAATGTTTGGTTTCCGAATCATCGTTTTGGTTTCGGAATAAAACTGCAACCCTCTGAGTTCCTATATAATATCCTTTTAGCAAGTGCCGTCCTCCAGACAGATCCGCTGCAATGTGGACACGCAAAAAGAAACAACATGGATATATGAAGGGATGCATATAAATAACTGTGATATCATAAAAATGATGCAGTTGGTTGCAGATGTTGCACCAATGAGCCATTGGGAGGGCCCAAGATTTGCATATTTGTTCAGTTCAGCACGCTGACGAGGATGACAGCGATGCTGGTTGCTACTGTTTGGATGACGAGCTCCGAACATTGCTGCAGTCCGTGCAGAGAGCATCGACGAGAAGTTTGGTTTGCAATTGGAAGCATCCAAACGCTATAGAAACTTCATCCAGGGGCTGTAAGACCACTGCCAGCGTACTAAGTGGTTGAGTTTTCCATTTGAGGCTATTAAGGCTTCATGCCACATGTGTGAGGCCATGCCAACCGCCAAAAGGGAAATTCAGACCAGGTAGAGAAAGGTGCCCAGTCGATAAGTAGTCATAGTAGTGAGTAGTTTTTCCTTGTCCCACTTTTCTCTCTTTGTCGTGTCTACCGCTCTTTCCTTCTCCCTGCTATCTCCTCCAAGAGGGGATTAGGTTTAACGCCCCTGGCAGCAGAGAAACAATGTTCTATGTGTTTTGCTCTTGATTGCTCAAGTCCTGCGTGTAGGTTTCCATAAGCCCTCGGGGTGCCTGCATGACCCATGGCCCTGTTTGGGGTCAGGCTAGCCAGACATTCATCAATTTGAGACCTTCAGAATGGAAGATCATCCATCAGAGCTTGTATATACTGTATATATATATATTTATATAGGTATTATATACTACCATTATGCATTAGTGTTACATTGTTACTATTATGTGTTATATTATATATATATATTGCCATATTGCTATTCCCTCAAGTTTGCCCTTCCGGTGCAAGAATGTGTCACAAATCATAATATTTCCATTTCGAGGGAATCAATTAGTCTGGAAGGATGAAACGGCAAACAAGTAAGAGGACGCTACTAGGAGCAAAGGGCATCGCTACTAGGAACAAGGACGATACTAGGGGCTCCTGGCCTTACTACTAGGAGCAAGAAGCTACTAGGAGCTTTTTCACGCGCGCTCTTACTTTCAAAGGATGATTTGGGGCCCGCTCTTGCTTTCCTCGGGTGAGTTCCCCAAGGCACTTCGGCACCGCCGCCACCAATGCCGCCACCGAAGCCTGGGAATGGAAAGGCCGACGGCCTGACAAAGGGGCCAAATCTGGAGCCAAAGAGAGCAGCACCGCAGCCGGAGCCTCGAAACCGAGGGCCGCCCGCAGCGCCCGCAGTTCTTTGGCCGCAGTTGGCAAAGAAGGTTGCATACTCGGCTACAAGGCTCACGTGCACGGAGATATTATTCGAAGGGTCCATTTCAGAAGTCATTCAACTGTCAAGAGATAATGAGTGGCACAGGCACAGTTCACAAGACACCATTTCACTCAAGAACATGCCTTGAGATGGATGGTGCCAGGAAAGCTACCCTCTGACTGTGTGCACTACAAGATAAACACAAAGACTAATGACCTGAGCACTGGTGACCATAGTGACCATTGCATTGAGACAATCCGAGGCCGCTGATGGAAGGACTCGGCTAATTGAAGAGGTGTTCACTGCTTTGAATCGAAGTCGCACTGGCAACCTCAATGCCGATGAAATGCGGCCCTTTGCCAACCAAACAGGTGCCTCGATTCGTGCTGTGGGCTACAGCTCATTATTGATATATGCTTTGATAAGTGCGTTGATATGCTTTAATAATGAGCCTGCGGCATGTGTCTTAACGAGCCTTGTGGCCATAAATCCCTAGTTTTCTGTAGGCTACTTCACCTGTTGGCTGGCTGGCGCGTGGGGCAGGAAATGGTCTAATTTGTCTTGGGGCAACGGTCACGTGTGCAGGCTTTCAGGGCTCAGATGCAGAGTGGCAAACGGAGTTTGATTTGCTCCGGAAAGAATGTGGCAAAGATGCAGCAAGACAGTTCACATACAAATGCATGTCATTTGCCCAAAGACGGCGCGTGTAGATATGTAAGTGCAGTTGATTCCTGTGTGTCTTGGAGTGTCACTGTCACTTTTATTTGCTTTCTAAGGTGGCTCCGGCTCAGGGATTTCGTTGCACCACTTTCGGCACTTGGTCAATGAGACTCGGAAAGGAGAAACACAAGAGGGAGGACCCCTAAAGCATCGCCGGTTCCCAGCACCGCACCGGCCCAGTAGCGACACTGAGGATGACAGCGATGCTGGGTGCTACTGTTCAGATGGGGAGCTACGAACCGTGCTGCAGTCCATGCAGAGAGCATCGACAAGAAGCTTGGTTTGCAATTGGAAGCATCCGAAGGATCCAAATCCCATAGAAACTTCGCCCACGGTCTGTAAGACTGTAAGGCCACAGCTAGATTAGATTGCGGGTCATAGAATGCAAAGCATACTAAGTGGGTTTGAGTTTTGCATTTGACTGCTCTTAAGAATTTCAGAGAGCAGCAACACAAGGAGATATGAGCACCCCATGCCTCAATATATGACACTTCGGTGCATTCAGTTCCCCCAAAATTGGTAGATTAATTTAAACCATAGTATCCAACAGCGGCGCGAGAATCTTTCTGAGAAACAGCGACCAACAGTAACTGTAGCAGTTTCAATGCCAACCATCATCCATGGCGTAGGTGGACATCACGGGACCTCCGACGACTCTCCTGACGCAGCAAAACAGCCAAACAATGCGCCTGTCGTGCGACGTGCTCACTTGCCAACGGAAGAAAACAGGGCACCACAGCAGCCTACAGGCATGCTTCCTACCTGAGCCTCAGTTAAACACATAAATGGACAAATCGCAGAGTCAGTCCCGAAATCGTTTTGACCTGTTTTGAGATGTTTTGAGCCTTTTTTGAGGAAACAATCTGTCCACACTGGGCAGACCGTTGCCTCACACCCAACTCCCATTGGTGGGATCCTTGCAGACCGGTCACCGCTTTTCTCAGGCCAGGCGCCACAAAGCCAAGTGCCTCGCAGAGGTCCTGCCCTTTGGTGCAAAGCGGCGGTGACAGGTCGGAGGGTGTCACCGCTACGAACGGAGCAATGACGCTACTAGGGGCTCCTGGCATCGCTACTAGGAACAAGAAGCTACCAGGGGCTCCTGGCCCTACTACTAGGAGCAAGGACGCTACTAGGTGGAGGCCATCGCTAGGTTGGAGTCCAGAAGCTACTAGTAGCAATGGCCTCCAACCTAATAGCGGTGGCCTCCACCTAGTAGCTTTTTGTTACTAGTAGCTTCGTGTTTCCCCCAGGTCGAGTGGCATGTTTCTGGATTTGGATCCAAAAGCAAAGACTGAGGTGAACACTGTGTCGACTCGTCGACTATGCTGTTTCATTTTTAGTGTTTTGGATGTGTTACCCGACCCCCCACATAAGCTGATTCGGCATTCCCAAGGACTACGGAGCCCCCAATGGCGATCAGGGCATCGTTGATCGCCAAGCTGCAGCTACTTTTGACAAAGTGGGTTAAGTGGAGGGGCCAGATTTGTTGATTATGTAACATGTACATTGAATTATCATCAGGGAGCTGCTGTATGCATATATTATATTTTTTCTTTTTTTTTGCTCAGGCTTTTTTTATAATCAATCAATTCATAGACATGACCAGTATTTTGATGTTCTTTGTTGTTGAGCTACTTCAAGTTCTTCCTTGGTGGCCGAGGCCAAAGCGGCCAAGGCAATCAACGATGAACGGACTCAACTCATCCAAGAGATTTTCACTGCTTTGAATCGAAGTCGAAGTGGCCACCTCAATGCCGATGAAATGCGCCCCTTTGGCGACCAGACCGGTGACTTGGACTGGGCTGAGGCTGGGGCAAAACTCAGGGGAAGCTGGAGAACAACGCAGCCAAGAAGCTGCAGCTATGAAATTTGTGTGTGTGTGGAGTCACAGGGAACCTGTTGGTTTTTAGTGTAATAGCAGGGGGCATCCGGCCATCACGCAAACGCATGCCAACGAAGCTATGCGTGATGGTGGAAGCCAGGTTTGATATGGTTTGATCGACCTGATGTACCTGCAAGTTGTGATGCTTCTTAACTACGATCCCTTTCTAGAGTCTTGGAGGCTGTTTCAGGATAAAGATGGTTTTGCTGCTGTCAAGGGCTAATGCACTCGTCGTCGACTTCGTCGCCCTTTGGAACCTTTGGTAATTCTTGGGCTTTTGAGAATTTGGGGCTCAATGACCATGATCAGACCGTCTTACATGTACTCTGACCTAGTCTCTCCTGGCTTCTTAGGCTTTCATACCTGCGTGTGGCATGCGGCTTTTATTTCAATATGGGTTTTTTCGAGTGTGCTTGGCCTAGTGCCAGCCCGGGGTGCGCCCGAAGAGTGCGCCCCGTGTCCTTGCTGAGCAGGGTCTTTCCCGGGAACAGAGGAGTCCGCAGCGGACGAAGGAGCCTTAGCACAAACGTGAATTAAGACCTGTCGGCTTGGCATGCACTTGCCCCTGGCACGCCGTGAGTAGTCCAGAGCGGACAAGAGCAGCCCGCCATTTTGGCATGGCACGTGTAGGCTGCAGCGGCCGTAGCACACTCAAGGCCCATTGGGGCCTGTCCGAGCCTTAAGGGCACATACAGCGCCCATTTACCAAACCAGGCTAGGTCAGCCTAGGTCCACTCAATGAGGCTTGGCTTCGTTGTTTTCCTGCCCTTCCATTTGGTTCCCCCTTTCATCCTTTCCCCTTCACACAAAAACACACACACACACACTTTCCTCTTTCGTTTCATGTCTTCTCCGTCTTCATGTCCCGTCCTCTCACTTCGTTCTTTCTTCTGCACACATCGGTCCGGCCCTTAGCATGTACGCGCGCATCTACACTTAACCCATGTTTTAGGTCGTCCAGGACTTGATAATGAGATATGGTTCATTGATTGTCCCTGTGCATTTGGTTTCCGCTTCATCGCAACCACACACTTTCGTCTCGTCTCGTCCCCGTCTCATGTCTTTGTCCTTTTTGCGCTCGCACTCGCACATTAGTTTGCCCCTTAGCTTTTGCCCCCCCTACGCGGGGGGCGTATGTGTGTGAAACCCTTGGAGTCACAGGGAACCTGTTGGTCTTTAGTGTAATTGCAGGGGGCATGCGGCCATCAAGCAAACGCATGCCAACGAAGCTATGCGTGATGGTGGAAGCCAGGTTTGATATGGCTTGATCGACCTGATGTACCTGCAAGTTGTGATGCTTCTTAACTACGATCCCTTTCTAGAGTCCTGGAGGCTGTTTCAGGATGAAGAGGTTTTTGCTGCTGTCAAGGGCTAATGCACTTGTGTTTGACTTCGTCGCCCTTTGGAACTGTTCGTAATTCTTGGGCTTTTGAGTATTTGAGACTCAATGATCTCAATGACCATGATCAGACCGTCTTACATCGTCTTACATGTTCTCTTACCTGGTCTCTCCTGGCTTCTTAGGTTTCCATACCTGGGTGGGCGTGTGGCACGTGGCATTCAACACGAATTTCCCTGAGTGTGTGCGCGTGTGTTCGTTCGCCTTTCCCTTCCGAATTGTTATCCTGAGGAACTTGTAGGGCAAGCTTCAGTTTGATAGTAGGTTGATGTAGATTGATCTCATATACGCTCTAACTCTGAAGTTCACCCGGCCAAGTGTCAACTACAAGAAGGATGGATTGGTCATGCCGTATTCCAGGCGACACAACTGGCGTTGCGATGAGGTTTCGAGGGCACAGATGCAGAGTGGCGACAAGAGTTTGATTTGCTCCGGAAGGAATGTGGCAAAGCTGCAACAAAACGGTGTTTATGCACACTTCGGCGGGCCCCGCATCAGGCTGTGTTTAATGCTGTGTTTGTCTCCGTTGCCACCATTGCCGTGGGATGCAGTATTTGGTCAAATCAGTGATATCAGTGCAAGTCGTATCCCCCGGCCCCCCCGCCACCGTGTCCCGCAAAGAGGGGTTGCGACCTGTTAGCCCACTCAGGTGGCTCCGGCCCGGGGATTTCACTGTTCCACTTTCAGCGCTTGGCCAATGACACTTGGAGAAAAGGATCAAGACCCTACATACTAATCATATTACTTACTACTGCTGCCACCACCACTGCTACTGCTGCGACTGAGCTTGGCCAATAGAACTCTGGGTGTTGTGAAGGCAGTACTGTTCAGTCGATCCTCCTGGAAAATCAATGGCTAGGCCGGCTAGGTTTGCCGATTGGGACATCTATATACTGCAACTTGCTTTCCACTGGCCTTGTACTGGGTTCGCGCAACATCACCGAATACTTATTCTTGACTTACTATTTTTTATGGTTTACCATGAGTGTGTGAATGTGATGTTTCTTTTCCCATCATCCACGAAGGGAGTTCTTGAGACGTGACATGCCACTACCCTGCACCATGTTGCAAACCGGGTGCACTGTAGCTAGAGAACGCCGCACAAAGCGCCGGAGGATTCAAGCGACGATGGTTGCTACTGCTCTGATGAGGAACTTCGAAGACTGCTGCAGTCCCTCCAGGGAGGATCGACTAGCTGCTTGTTTCGTGTTTACGGTTTGGGCCACAGGTTTTTCCAAGGTCCAAGGGGTGTACGACCGCAAATATGATATGATATATAAACATGCCATGCAACTTAGCAACTACCACAGGGCTGATGCAAGCGGGGTTGAGGTGGTACTGAACCTTCACCTCCTCAGGTGCCTCAATGCCGCCAGAGCCACGAAACTGGGCACCTGCAGCAACTCGGCACCTGTGCTGCTGCGCCCTTTGGTTGTTCGATGTTTGTCCTCATGGATCTTTCGATCGGGGCCCTGAGTATGTCAAGGAGTCAAGGATAAGGTTCGATCCCCGCTGTACACCAAGCTTGATTCCAAGGATTGGATGGAATCCCCTTTGTGAAATCATGTTACGAGATTAGATAGACCAGCAAACCTGAAATGCCAAAGAACCCGGAATCCCCTTAGCAATCCTTTTCAGAAGGTGTCATAGTCATAGTGTGATGGACATGATGAACCCGGTTTTGGACAATGGGATGAAGTTAGCAAAAAAATCCTCGACAGTGGCGCACTATAGCCCATTGTGATTCAGAATCCGGAAATGGCGAACGGGATGGAAGAATAGCCGAGCCCAAATATTAAAATATTGCCACATTATAATTAGAGCTTCACCATTGAGGAATTCGATTTTGCGGTGTTTGCATGACACGTCACCAAGGCAAAGGGCAATGCCGATGAAAGAGTTCAGCTCATCGAGCAGGTGTTCAACACCTTGAACCGAAGTTGCACTGGCTACCTCAATGCGAGTGAAATGCGGCCTTTTGCCAACCGGACTGGCGACTTGCGATCGTTTGGAGCACTTTTGTATACTTTTGTAGCTTCTTGTGCGTGTTTTGAGTACCAATGTTCGGATTGCAAAAGAGACCAGCTGAGGGCAGGGACAGCACTCCAAACTCATTGCATATAACAAGCCAATTCTAAGCCATTTTCTTCAAGGTTTCGATGGCACAGATGCAGAGTGGCGGCAAGAATTTGAATTGCTCCAGAAAGAGTGTGGCAAAGCTGCAAAAATTCAAACATGGCATCGCAACCATGAATTGGCTGGCAGAACGTGGTGAAAGGGTACTCTTTCACTGCATTCATGGCTGTGGGCAACGGTCACCGCATCCGGTAGAGGAAGTTTTAAACCGCAACATGTTTGCATGGAGGCATGGAGGCAGCTCATTTGTTCATGATATTTCTGTAGAGTTGGTGGTTGTCCCGTGACAGGTTGCGCATTTTCGGGTTGGCTAAGGTGGCTCTGACACAGGGATTTCACTGCACCACTTTCACCGCTTGGCAAATGAGACCTGGAAAGAAAGAGTGGGTGGTAATCTGACATTCGTGTTTGGTTCAGTTGGGGTTGTTGCAGCTTCAAAGTGCAGGGCAGAAACGAACGAAGAATACATTCTTAGCATTTCTTATATAGCTAAATTAGACACAACCAACGCGCCTTTGGCCTCTCCTTCTTTCCGTGAAAACAACTCAGGCTAGCTGGGCTGAGGTTTTTCCGAAGCTATATATGTCATTATGTGTCACACAATTCGCATACTGCGCAACTTTTGCATGAGGAGGGTCAATGAATGAACCCTGCTGCTATTTCCCGAGAAGTCAGTTGCTGCTTGACCAGTGGAGTGAACCAGACGTGCCCCGAGTGCATAGTCAGAGTTATGGTCGGTTGCCACCCAAGCGACTGCCGTTGGTTACCAGACATCCACAAATGCGAGGTTATAGAACCGATTAGAATTAGAATCGTAAAATCTGTACTGATCCAGAACTCGTTTGTGGTCCTCAGGACTCCTCCGACGATGGCTGCTATTGTTCGGATCAAGACCTTCGAGGATTGCTTCAGTCCATGTCGGAAGGCAACTCAGCGCCTGTGAGGCCGCCTGTGACGCCGCCTGAGCCTCACAGGCCAGCAGTCCTTTGGCCCCACTATTGACAGTATGTCAATGTATGTCAGTGCAAAAATAGTCTAAAACGATCTAAAATGAACATACGGATCCCCATCTAGTTTCGTGGCATGTATATATGGCGAATCAAATGCATTTCTCCAGTCGAAAAGGGTCCAGGTGCTTCCTTCGTACTGACCCACTGCACATAATCACCAAGGACTATGGAACCCTGAATGGTGAGGCGGCCGCCACTACGAATCAAGCTCCCTGGTTGAATGAGGTGCGCAGAATATCCTTGGTAGGCCATTCCTAAACTACAGTTATTACAGTTTGCCTTGCGAGAGGCACCCACTTGTCGAGAGGAATAGCCCATTGTTCTCAAGTGGACTCACTTATATAAAAAGAATGAGGTGCCCACTTAAAATCAGAAACATCGCTAGTTCATGCTAGTTCATCGTATGCTACTACCAGTTTACATGAGTTTACTGCTTGTCAATTCGACCAAGCTTTGGGGGCCATAGTGACGTCGTGTGTTTGTTGGGCTCCAAACCCGCAAGCGTGGCTGCGTGGCAACCTTTGAAAGGATCACTAATGTGTCAGTAGTGCATGCAACATGGACCTTTAGTTAGGGAACACAGTTTGGTGCGACTCACCAGCTTAGCTCTACCACTTGGAAGCAAGGAGTAACAATTCTATCCTGTTACTTCCTCTCCTGCTGCATCTCCTCCACTCCATCGCACTGTACTCCTGCCGTCACAGATTCCTGGAACGGAGGAGCACCAATTGCATGGGGCCAGCCTTAGGAATGAAATTGGGGGGCACTGACTCTCTCAAGTTTTTATCAGTCAATTATATAATTGTCGACATTGCCGACATTGGATGTTGGTGGGGCCCTCAAAAAAGTGTCGGCATGAGGAAACACATGGTCAGACAGCAGAGAGGCAAACACTCCCCCCCAAAAAGGATCAAATTCAATTAATTTTGAGTTGAGGGAGGGAGAGAAAAGAATTGAAAGGTGGTGGAGGGGTAAAGTACCTGTGAAATATTATGAAATCATGTGACATGAATTCTCAGGATATCCTCCTTTGCACTGCCTAAATTAAGTCTGGGAGGTCCACTGCAGTGTTTGAACTTGTGAAGATGCAGAGAAAGAAACGAAGAAGAGGGGAGAAGAGAGGAGACGAGACAACGTGTTAGGAGAGGAGAGGAGAGGAGAGGAGAGCGATTTCATAATTTCATCAAATATTGTGACATTAATGCTCGGGTGGCTGAGTGCTCGACCACCCCTACAATTACTAGCTATATAACAATTATATACTTAGTTAACTCTAGGCTCCTTGCATTCCAGATCCAGCTACAAACCATGGACAAACACTCCCCTTCACTGCCAATTAATGTATCATGTTAAAAATCATGAAAAAACACTTTGCACTTGTCCAGTCTCAGTGTAATTAACTCAAAAGGGCTGGTATCGTTTGAAGTCGGTGGCTGAATCGGAGAGGTTGGGATGGTTGAGGTAGAACAGGTCCGACTAACCACACATGTGCGCCTCAGGTCTGATTAGGTAGGCTGGCATTGGAAGTGGAAGAAATAAACTAAGGCAAGTCACCCCTCTCCCGAAGGCCCATCTGTTTGTCACAATGGAAACCACCATAAACCACCTCACTTTGTGTTTATATATATATATAATCATTGCATAACAAATCGTCAGGCAATACGTTAAATTATTGCTTGTTTTCGCATCAAATTTCACACCACCAACATGGCACTTCACAATATTTTTGTTCACTAATCACCAGACATTACATCCTCCCACGACACTTCACCGGCACAGGATGCACCACGCTACAAAAGGCACCATATATTATATAGTTGCACTTCATTGCAGCTCATCACTGGTTGGGAGTGGAGATCACCTAACATTCAATAGGATAGAACTTAGTTGTGAAATGCGTCCTCCTCACCTTGCAATGACAGTTTTTTGAGCTTTCGAACCGAGTCAACGGCACCATTGTGCCTTGCCATGGTACGCGAGGCAATGGGCATTGTCGATGAAAGAGTTGAGCTTATCAAGCAGGTTTTCATTGCACTGAACCGAAGTCGCACTGGCTTCCTCAATGCGAGTGAAATGCGGCCTTTCGCCAACCGAACTGGAGACTCGCAATCGTTTGGAGCACTTGTTTTTTTTTATGTCAACTTTTGTACGGCAATAAAGGCTGATAAGGAGCAGCTCCCAAGAATGAACCTCATGATCCTCATGCCTGATGATCCTTCATGATCCTTCCAGACAAACAAGCCATATTGCACATACATAGCCAGCATCCTTCAAGGTTTCGATGGCACAGATGCGGAGTGGCGGGAAGAGTTTGATTTGCTCCAGAAAGAGTGTGGCAAAGCTGCAAGCAGTCAAACATTGCATCGCAACTGTGAATTGACGGGCAGAACGTGAAACGGTACTGTTTCACTTCATTCATGGCAAGGTATGCGGAAAAATAAACCGGGAACGACACATATGTATATAACTGCATATATATATATATATTGCATGGAGGCATCGCAATGTTTTCTGTTGAAATGGTGGCGGTCCTGTGACGTAGGTTTCGCTTTTTCGGGTTGGCTAAGGTGGCTCTAACACAGGGATTTCACTGCACCACTTTCAGCGCTTGGCAAATGAGACCTGGAAAGAAAGAGTGGGTGGTAGTCTGACATTCGTGCTTGGTTCAGTTGGGGTTGTTGTAGCTTCAAAGTGCAGGGTAGAAACGAACGAAGAATTCATTCTTAGCATTTCCTATATAGCTAAATTAGACACAACCAACGCGCCTTTGGCCTCTCCTTCTTTCCGTGAAAGCAACTCAGGCTAGCTGGGCTGAGGTTTTTCCGAAGCTATATATTATTGCATGCGCAGTGGTAGCTGGAACCTGGGGTTTCTGCGGTCTCTTTTGACCATTGCGTGCTCGGCTTGAGCCAAGTTTATGGCATCAGCTTTTGACCAAGTTGGTCCTCAAGAAATGCACAAACCACATTTTATGTTCGTCAAAAGGTGCTTGCGATCATGAAGACTTCATGGCCTCCTCCTCGCTCTGCGAGTTTGCGCTGTAGCGCGGCCCCTTCTTCTAAAATGCTCCACTTTCCGGTGGACATCACCTCTCGAAGAAAGTCACCTTTAGTGTCTTTCGTGAGAGAGTCAGCTAACATAGTTCGCCCATCCACCCACCGAACTCGTCCGTTCATCTCGTGAACTTCCTGCTTGATGAGCGAGATGTCGATGGACGTGCGCTTGTCCTCGCATTGTGAAGCTGGGTTGGTGTCCTTGTTGATGGTGTCGAGCAATCATTTCGAGCCCGTCACGCAGATGAAGGAGAGGCGTGCCACTTCAGTCTGCCACTGGCGAGCCGAAAGGGTGAATCCCTTGGCCTCGAGAATGAGAACTCTGTACCAGTGGACTGAGCCTAGGCCTCGAACTAAGGCCTGAGTCTCGGAGCTGAGCGTGTTGACCGTTCGCCTCTTGAGGCGGTAGCTTTTCCAAGCTGCCAGGGTGACATTCTGCAAGGACTGAGACTCTGGTAGGTCTCGGTCGTAGAAGAAGGTGATCTCTCCCCCTTGGCTGTACAACTTCAAGAGTTGCTCATAGCCCCCATGGATCAGCTTTGCTTCTAGGCATTGTCCTTGTGGTTGCTTCTTGAAAGTGGTCGTACCCGTCCATGGCGAAGGTGCCAACGAGGTTAAACTTGATGAGGAGGTCCACTCGTCCTGGAGGATGTTCTTGGTGTCATTGAGCCTGATCTCGGTGTGGCGATCAGGTAAAGGTCATGGAGATCTGGTCCATCTGGTGCAGCTGCTGGATGGAAGCCTGTAATTCTTGGGACTTGATGATGTCGGATCCATCGGTCTGGTTGTTCTTCCCACCAGTCTGTCTTGGAGTCCTCGAGATATTGTCCAAATTCTCTGGCATTTCCCCAGGCTGCATCCGTGACAACTCCGGCGTGAAGTCGTTCTAGAGGGATTGGCATCACTCGAATGCCCAGTTGTGGTGTGTTCAAGGCTTCCTTGGCAATGGTGTTGGCCATGAGGATGTCCCGGATCAGCGGTCTGGGAAAGGACTGCTGTACCAAGGCGATCTTCCCTGCCAGATCAGCTCGAGTCTCCTTGGCTACCCAGGCCAAGGTGCCCAGAAGGGCTCGGAGTTGTTCAACTTCCACGGGAGTACATTGGGAGTACTTTCTTCGTTTTCTCTCTTTGGCGATGGGAATCTCCTGTACCCGAGCCTTGACGTAGAACTCCTGGTCGATCCGGATGGAACCATCAGGTAGTGGTGTGAAGTCCTTGCCAACAAATCTTCCTTGTCCCCAGGTATATTTTCCCAGGGTATACCTTTGTCGGAGTGTTTCCATACATTCCATGTGTCTCAGAGATCCTCCATGGAGTAGGTCATCCGTAGCCAAGGCGACGATGCCCTCGATGGAGTCCGGATCAACAATAGATTGGCGATATCCCAGTTCCTTGGTGAGGTACTTCACGATATGCTTGAACCAGGCGGATGGGCCGTCGGTGAGTCCATAGCACGTCTTCTTCAACTTGATCAGTTGAGTTGGCTCAACTCCGGGGATTCCTTCTCGTGGTAGTTCCGCATAAAGTTCCCTGTTGATCGCATCTCCACTATGGAAGGCCTGGGTGAAGTCTGCATATCCCGGTTGCCAACCCCTGGATGCCAAGATGTGAGTGGCGAAAACGACCGAGTCTCGGTGTACCTGTGGTGTGCTGGTCTCCAAGCTGAGAAGGTCTGGCTCGCTGAATCCCATCATGACGTGCCTGCATTTTGCTTTTGTCGGACCCTCGCTGGCATTGAAGTCCAGGGTGATGTCTGACGACTTGGCATCCTCAAGGGCGAAGTCCTCAATGGGCTTGCACGTGAAGACGTAGCGTGACTTCATGATCTTGTCTGGCTTGTTTCTTCGGATCTGAGCGGATTCTGCTGGTGACAAGATCTCATAGGCCCCGGTTCCAAGGTTGTTGTTGATCTCTTTGTGGATCGCTTGTTTAAATCTCTCCAGGTCTTTCCCCTTGAAGTCTTTTAGGGAACATTCTCGGTTTTTGCCCGGTCGTGCGGCTCCCCGGGGTCCAAGTTGAAGGTGTAGAGCTTCGAGAAGTTCCAACCGGGATCTCTTCATTGGTGGGATATTTTCCCAACGGTCTTCTGTGTGTTCGCTCCCAGGTCTTTTCTCAGCTTCTTCGCGTGACCAAGTCAGGTGCCAGTGATTGTGTATAGGTGGTCAGCCCCGCTGATGCATCACTGGGCAATCTTACCTGGTGAGGTAGAAGTCCAGGAGGTGGTTCCAACGTCACTTCCTCGTCTTCCGGACCTGGTGGAAGTTCCAAATCCGCCGTGGTGTCCATTTGGACGTCGGAGGCTGATGGCAGTTCTCCTGTCAATTTGCCCGTCTTTTCTTCTTTGATCTCATTCGCTTCTGGGTCCATAGTTGCCTCTTGTCTGACTCGTCGGTTGATGGTTGAACTGATTCCTTTCGCAGCTTTGCTGGGAACAGCGCAAGTTGGGAACCAGGTAACCAGACGAGTTTGCTTCCAAAGCAATGTTGGGGTCAATGAGCCCATGGTTTCATTGCTTGCACTATCTTGCACTTCTCGATTTGTGCCACATGCGCAGCGCGCACTACTGCAGCACACCTGGCGTGCGCGTGTGCATTTTTCTTTGGTTTTTGCGCGCCATAATGCCATGTGTGTTGACAAGCAGATTTTTTTTGGAGGTGCAGGAGATTGAGTTTCAAGTTTCTAGACGCTGTTAAGTTTTAGACGACATGACTTTGTCAAACGTGCGTTGTGTATGTCTTCCACCAGGGTCGCCAGGCTTCGTGTCTTTTGAACATAAAGCCTCAATCTTCTAACTTCCAAAGCTTTTTTGGGGGTGGTGGTGGTTTGATGGGTTTCTTGGCTCGACAAGAAGCTATTCCAATGTCTATAGTGGCATAAGGAGACGAGATTCAGATGGGAAGTAGGAGATTCAACGCCTGGAAAGTGAAAGAACCAATCAAATAGATCAGAGTCAGAGTCAGAGGTTAGGGTCACAGCAGTTCAAGCCACCAGTCCGTTCTGAGCGCGATCATAGTCCCTCGCACACCAGTCCAGCCCCTGTCCAGCCAGCATGTTGGAAACCATTGCCACATACAGTGCGTTTTCTTTCTTGATGTGAAACGCTTTGTAAACGAACAGCAGACACATGGAGTTTGCATGTTTCTTTTGAGCTCACTCTTTGCAAGGATTCAGGCGTTTAGGTTCTACGTAAATTTTTCTGGAGCAAGCTGAAAACCCATTGCCCAACCTGAACACCGCCCACAAATAAAGATCCGCAAGTGCCACGCAAGCAACCAGCCAAACAAGAGCCCTCCTATGTTCTGTTTCTTCCAGTGAACCCACTTGGAAGGCCTTGGGTCGCCTCAGCAGGTCTAGTCACTGCTGGTTTTTGCGCCACTGATGTTTTGTTGAGGACACAGGTGACAGCAGCAAACATTTTGCCAGCAACACGCAAAACAAATACACATATAGCGCAAAACAGTGGAAACCAAGCTGTTCAAGGGCCATGTAGCACCCATATGGATATTTGCGCATGTTTTCTGATGTTATATGCAGCTTTTGCAAGTTTTCAATGTTTTTGTGTCTCCATGCGCACCCCATGAACCATGAAGATCCACATGTGCGCAGCCACCCAGTAGATGTTGAAGTTCAAGCAAGCGTTCGAAAGAGCAAACAGCAGAAACAGGGTTGCAATTAGTTTTAAATGCTTCGTGAACTTGATATTCAGAAGTATTTTTCCTGAACCTGCAAGGTTTTGGGGGAGCGTTCAAGGTTTTGGTGATGTTTTGGGAGCTTAAAACCATAGATTCTCACCTGAAACTCAAGCCTCTTTGGGGACTGTTCAAGTGAAAAATGTGTTCTCACCGGAACTCACCGGACTTCACCGGAACTCACCGGATTTCACTGGATTTGATTGCAAGTAGAGGGGCAAATACAACAACAATTAGCCAAAAGTACCAGGAATGCTGGAAAAACAGACGCATTGCAGTGCAGGAAGTTTGATGAACGCTTCGAAACTGGTGTCGCTCCCGACGGAATCGAATGAACAGTTCAGGGGGCAGAATGCTCTGATACCGTTCTAAAGCATCGAGACCAATAGCCATTCGTTGACACCCCGTATCTATTGTAGCGCAACCAGCTTCAACAGAGGTCTACATAGTAAGAATCTCATGGGTGATGACAGGCGGCACGCTCATGTATACAAACTCCGCTTTGAGTGTCCCTGGAGGTCGGGGCAGAATGGCTAGCCGCGTCAGCATCCAAATACAGGAACTCAATCTCATCGGAGGTCTCCGCCCGTGATGTAGTGGGTATCTATTGGTTTCCCGTCTCCCTTGCCTCGTCCCTTGTTGGGACATTCTCGACTCCAATGACCCACTTCTTGACATCGATGACACTTCGTTCTCCGTTTCAGTTCTTCGATTGAGACTTTGTAAGTTCCTGGTCGAAGGGCTCCTTCAGCATGGTCAGAAGGACCTCTTTAGCCTCGCCCTCGGTGATCTCCGTGGTAGTTTGTCGGCCAAGGTGGTGAGCAACATCTCCGTGTCCTCGTCCTGAATCAGGTCGCCCTCAATGTCCAGAACAT